ATGTTTTTTTTTCAAATCAATCACTAAAAGGCCTGGATTAGACTTATTGCTGGTTTTCACAAATTCAAACTACAAAACTATCGATCCTACCGAGATTTTACTTTCACGATGTATTAGAACAGCGGAAAACTCACTTTCATACAAATTTTCGCTTCAAAAGGGTTCTTAGCTTTGTGATAGAGTACGCTTGAATTTCTAAGCTTTGGCGTGACGCGGCATTTACATGACGGCCAAGAGAGCTGTCATGCAGGTTAAAAAAATGACTTATTTCAGGGACTGTTTGCTGTCTAAACGGTCCATGTATTAGAAAAAGTATTACTTTAATGTTTATGAGTTCTTCGAAGAATAAATTCACGCTTTTGTAGCAAAACTCGGTAACAGATGTTTCTATTGCTTTCCGTCCGCCATGTTGTTGCTCATCCGGATGAGCACCAGCATGGCGTCTCCATACAAATCTCCATAAATTTGAGTAAAACGTTTCTTCGATCATCTCGTATACGCAATATTCCTCTGACCTGAATCTTGGCGAGGGTCTTTGCATATTTACCTCCTTTCATTTCCCAGATTCTGGACTTTATCTATTGAACGGTTTTGATTTTTATTTTGATCTATTTTGAATGGCGTGACACTGAAACCCAGCAACAGTTATCATAAATTTTAAAAGGTATTGCTGAATGAAATTTAATACTGTAATTTAATCAGTTAAAATAGAAACGAAACATTTTTTGTAGGAAAAAGCAAATTTTGAAAAATCTGGCTGTCAAAGCTCGGTTGCCATGACAATGTCAATGATGATATACACGTCACGATGACTCGAAAATTTTAGGAAAAGTCGCTAATGAGTGTAGTAGAGGTCATAGCGTAAATGGTTTTGAAGTCATTCAAAAGTTTCGCGAGAGGGTGCTTGAAAAGCCTCCCCCATGGCCAGTCTGAATAGGGTTACGGTAAACACCCGCTAATAAGAACCTGTCGATTAAGAACCTCCTGGCTGAAATTTTGCAATTAAATACTCAAAAATATATAGCCTGCGTAGCAAGCGTTTCCAGTGCCTTCCCCCTCCTCCCTCATTCCTTTTTTTTTTGCTCTCGTCCCAACTTTCTCGACGAACTCGCGCGAAGACGCTTGCTATGCAGGCTAAAAAATATAAGAACCTGTTTAGCCAAGCGAGATCAAGTAGGTTCTTATGTGTGGGTTACAGTTAAATTATGATACCCAATTTAACAAAGGAGTGTAACTGAGTTGTAAATTTAAGTACAACAAGAACATATTGTATTAAACTGTATATAAATTCGCCAATCAGTTTGTTAGTGAATAGATAAAAAGTTTATTATTTTTCTGGAAATCAACCATTTATTATCTCAACAGGCCTAAAAATTAAGAATCTAATTAAGAACTTACTTAGCCTTAATTGTCACTAAGTACCCCAAAATACATGAACCTATTTTGCCAGACTTCAAAAAAGGAGCTTTTTATATAGCAGGTGTTTACCGTATTAAACTCCTTCGCCCCTGAACCACCCGTAACCGCTCGTGAGGGTCCACGTCACGTACCTTGTTCTACCGCTTGTGACGTTATCAGTTTGAAGGGTCAAGGAGTCGTAGATATTGGACTCCTCTTTGACAAGATTTATCTCCTCTTGATCTTCTTTTCATTTGTTCATTTATGTAAATTACTTTTGTTGGCTTGTAACTTTAATATAATTTTTGAATGTTGGCCTCTTAGACTTAACAAGCTTTTGCGATGTGTGTGTTGGAAAAAAAATGTAAATGCTGATTGTTCAATAAAAAATGATTGATTGAATGATTGAGCTACAATATGGAGATGGAGTACGAAATATCGAAAAGACTGAGCTTCAGAGCGCGGCCATGCCTCATTACCGGGGCCCAGCCGAAGGCTGGCACCGGTCTTAAAATGCTGTCTGTTTCTGTCTTTTTTTCAACGTTACATTGTTAGGGATATATCGCTGACTGAGATATATCGCTGGCTCACTGAAATCTTATCCGCCATTTTGAAAAGCACGATTCATGGAGGACAGTCAAGAGAAAGGTTATAGCTTTTTCGCTCCCCAACCTTTACGATGCATTAGTTTATGAGCGAAGGTTTAAGAGTGAATACTTGGGGAGACAAATTTACGAGCGATCACTTAAGAGTTAATCACCTATCAAAGCTATCTACCTGGAGTGAACCTTCCATCGTGAAATTTATCGAGAATCAAAGCGAACACTTATCAAAGCTAACTTTATATCATCTTAAAAAAACGTGCTACAAGGCGATGTAGACGTGCTCGTGAACCGAGCAGAATTCCACTGCTATTTCTTAGAGGTCTCAACAAGAAGATTAGCATGTTGAAGAAATTTGTCTTCAATAAGATTTCAACGATTGACACACCGAAGTCTTCAAAGCTCCATCGCTATGTTAATAAGGTGAGAAAACTTTATCATGC